CTGATGTCATCCACTATCAGCCTCAGGTGTCCGGGGCCCCTCGCCCTGACGCATCCCTTCCAGGTGTGTGGTGCTGAAGCTGACCAGCCTGGGCATGTTCTCATTCTCACTGGGCCAGACCGTGCTGTGCTTTGGCCGGAACACGACCAGCTGTGAGACCTACGGCTACAACGCCTGTGACTACCAGGTGCCTGCAGCTCCTCCTACACAGAGCCCCACCTCTAACCATGCAGAGCCCTGCCCCTCCTCCTGAGCCTCCCGTCCCACCTGTGTGAGCTGCAGGTGGCGACGCCCCACACAGGCGCGCCACCAGGGGGCGCTGTCCACTTCACACTGGGGGGTGAGGCTGCGGGGTTTCTCTGCTCCCATCCCATCCTCCTGAGACGCTGTGTGAAGTTACATATCTGCAAAAAGGACGCAGAGGCACCCTCTGACCTCCTCCAGCCGCCGAGGGGGAGACAGAATCACCCTCCTGCCCACGGCTGCTACCCAGCAGGCAAAGTCTGACACGCCACCACGCTCCAGCCTTTTACCAACTCTGACAGTGGCCATCCCTCCCACAGCACTCTCGGCGCTGCTGGGTCCTAATGTGTCTCAATGGCCACACGGAACTCACGGAGTAGCCTCAAGATTCTGGGGTTTATTAGGGAAGGAGCAAGTGACAGTTCAGGGTCAGGAACACCCCCAGGATACAATTCTTGGATCCGGGCTGCCTCCGCCATCCATGCCCTCAAGCACGCCTCTCTCTGACCCTTGACCTCTCGGCCTGGCCTCTGCCCTGCTCAGGCAAGGGTCACAAAGCTCTTTTAGCCCTGCCGACAGGTACACCCACCCCACCAGCAAGCCTTCTGCCCAAAGGCGCACAGGTTTCTCGCTCTGTGGTTCGGCCTCCTGGTTCTGCTGCTGCCGTCTCTCTGCAGTCTGAGCGCAGGGATCTCGGGTCTGGAGACAGGCTCCTCTCCTAGCTCTTCTCTGTCTTGATAGCAGTGCGATTCCCCCCTTTCTGCCTCTGAGAGGGCTCATTTTAAGCCTAGCAGAATGACCAAACTGACCAATCCCCACCTTAGGGCTCCATGCCTTATTTTCACGGTCCCACCCCCACAGGGTGCCATGTCCCTTATTTACATTATTAGCAATGTATCCAGTCCCTTTGGCGGGACACAGGGCCTCCTATTTACACACTCCCACCCAGTCATTTGGTGGGAGTCACAAAGATGCTGACTACAAGAGCCACACCACACTGTCACACCAGCCTCCAGGAGCCCCCCAGTGGGTGGGGAAGGGGAGGAGGGGCTGTGGCTGTGGCTGGTGACTGCTCCCCGCCCCTCCCGCCTTCTGCACCCCAGTGCTGGGAGAACTCTGTGGGAGAGGAACTGTACAAGCTCAGCATCTTCAACTTCCTCCTCACGGTGGCCTTCACCTTCCTGGTCACCTTGCCTCGCAGGTAAACCACAGAGGACACCATGGGGGGACGAGGGCATGTGGCATGTTTGGGGGTGCCCATGGTCCACAGCCAAGGGGGAGCCAGTACACGTCATGTGTGCCACGTGAGTGGCTGGGGGTGGGCTGTGGTTCCCCGGTGCCTGGTGGGTGGTGGGTACCTGGGCACTCCTCACCCCCAGGCTGCTGGTGGAGCGATTCTCAGGCCGGTTCTGGGCCTGGCTGGACCGAGAGGAGTTCCTGGTGCCCAAGAACGTTCTGGACATCGTGGCAGGGCAGACGGTCACCTGGATGGGGCTCTTCTACTGCCCCCTGCTGCCTCTGCTCAACAGCGTCTTCATCTTCCTCACCTTCTACATCAAGAAGGTGACCGTTCTCCAGGGCGGCAGTCTGGGAGCCACCGTAGCCCGGGGTCAGGCACAGCTGGGCCACTGTCTGTCTCTGCCCCTTTGTAACTCCACTTCCTGGATCTCCCTGCCCCCAGTACACCCTCCTGCGGAACTCCAGGGCATCCCCGCGGCTCTTCCGTGCCTCCAGCTCCACCTTCTTCTTCCAGCTGGTCCTGATCCTGGGCCTGCTCCTGGCCGCGGTGCCCCTGGGCTACGTGGTCAGCAGGTGAGGGATGGGGAGGCGCGGGGGAGGCTGGTGGGCGGCCCAGCCCCAGCCCTGACGCCCCTCCCCCGTGGCCTCTCCCCAGCATCCACTCCTCCTGGGACTGCGGCCTCTTCTCCAACTACTCGGCCCCCTGGCAGGTGGTCCCAGAGCTGGTGGCCCTCCGCCTGCCGCTGCCCAGCCAGCGTGTCCTCCACTACCTCGGCTCCCACGCCTTCGGCTTCCCCCTGCTCATCCTGCTCAGGTGCCGCCAGGAAGAGGGGGAGGGGTGGGGTCTGGGCGGGCCTGGGAGCCAAGGGAGGCCAGGGATCAGGGACCCAGGGACCCAGGGTCCTGGTGGGGAGGATGCCCCCGGGAGGCACAGGGCCAGGTGCCGCCGTGCACTTACTCTACTGCCCCGTTGAGAGGGAGGCAGGCTGGGGTCGTGGCAGAGAGGCAATGAGGCCCTGTCCAGGCAGTGGGTGCACAGAGCGATCCGGCTGAGTTTTTAAAGTCAGGATGGGGAGGGAGGGAGGAGGTCAGGAAAGACGCTTGTGGTCCGATGTGTGATCTTCGTCCCCACGTCTGCCCCAAGCCTTGTCTTGACCGTGTGCGTCTCCCAGTCCCAAGCCAACACCAGGACCATCCAGGAGCTCCGGAAGCAACTGGTGTGGGTGAGTGCCTGGGGCCAGGTGGGCGGGGCCTGGGGCGGGGGCTGTCTTCTGGTGGGGGCGTGGCCTTAGGTTGGAGGCGCGGTCTAACGGGGCGTGGCCTCGGCCTGGGAGCGGGCTTGTGATGGGCGTGGCCTAGGCTGGTGCGGGCGAGGCCTCGGGACCCGGAGGGAGCTGATGGGCGGGGCCTCGGTCGGAGGCGGGGCTGCGGGCCACCTGCCCGCGGGTGAGCGCCGCTGGCTGTCTTTGCAGCAAGTCAAGGAGAAGTGGCACCTGGTGGAGGACCTGTCGCGGCTGCTGCCGGAGACAGAACCGAGCGACTCCTCGGGACCCAAGTCCCCTCATTCCCGAGCTTCGCGCCCGCGGTCTTTCTGCCCCGGATTCCCGTGCCCAGGTTCCCCGAGCCCTGGATCCCCCCGGTCGGGACCCTCCCGGTAACCCTGGACCGCCCGGCCGCCGCCGGCAGGTGCCGCTTCCCCGGTGCCGCGGAGCGATAGAACCGACCCCGCCTCCGCCCGGGACGCCCCGTCCACACTGTTAGCCACTGGGGACCACCGCCCTTCCCAGAGCCTCCCGGGGCTGGGACAGAGGGCCACAACGAAGGGCGCATGCGCCCAGGAGCGGCAGGAAGAAGAAAACGGGACTTTTAAAATGTCTCCTTTCCTGTGTGTGTTTCATAGCGTACGAGATGTAAGTTACCGGCGCATGCATTTTATAAACGTACGTCTACTGAAAGTGCTCAGTTTAATGAGCGAACGCCCTTGTGTGGCAGGAGTCTGGGTGGTGCTCTGAACCCAGCCAGCGGCGGCTCGGAAGACAGCCCCCTAGTGGTCTGCGGAGGAAAGGGCACAGCGGTGGTTTGATTGTGCACGCGTGGGTCGCAGTGAGGCTGATCAATTCCGGCTATCGACCGCCACCACCTGTGCAAGGGCGCGCCTGGGCTGAGGCTGCTCCCTGTTGTTTTGCGTCTGTCGTCCGTTTAATTCCCCCACAACCTTGTTATTCCTCCTTCATTGTTAGCTGTTCTTGAGTCAGCTCAGGCTCGTGGTGACCCCGCGCACAACGTAAGCACGCGCCGTCCAGTTCCGTGCCTTCCACCTGCAGGGCTCTAAGCACTGTGGCAGACAGCCTTGGCCAACAGCCTGTCTTAGTCCAGAAGCTCCGCTGGAACCTGTCCACCATGGAGGATCCTACTGGTACTTGAGGGCTCAGAGCCCTGGGGGCGGGACTTCCTGCATGGTGACAACACACAGTAGGACAAACGGAGAGACGGGGCACGGATTCCTTCTTTACATCTAAGAACATGGGCCCCTCAGAGAGTCTGAAACAGGCCTTGGTTTGCAGAGTCAGCAACAACAGAGCTGGGGTTTGAACCCAGACACTGCTTAGAGCCAGCCACCCAGCACCTCCATGGGCCTCAGAGGCCCTTCCCGATCCCACGGCCTTGGAGCCTGAGTAAACCACAGGGACCACCCCTCATCAGAAAGGGCCCTTCCAGACAGAGGCCCAACCACACCTTCAAAGGATTCTCTCCCGACCTCCTTGCCAACACCCCCCATGGCTACCGGTCAGACTGACTCAAGGCTTGGTAGGGTGGTGGTGCCCACTCTGAGGACCTTCCTGGTGCACAGATCTGCAGTGTGTGAGACTGTTGGTGTAGGGGTGTCTCAAATCATCCCTCGCGAGATATGAAAGAGCAGATGAGAAGTTGGGGAGCTGTGGAAGACTTCCTTCCAAAGCCTCCTGCTGCCAAGGCTGCTGTGGCTTTAAATCTATAGTCACCAGCCTGGAAGGGCACCCAGAAAGTGCCAGAAGCTGGCCCCACCCCAGAGATGCTGTAATCGGGTGCAGCCAGGCACCTGGCTGTTTTTAAGGCTCCCAAGTGACTCTCCCAGGCAGCTGGGCCGAGAGCTACTGCACAGAGAACCTTCTGGAGGAACGCCAGGACATGCTTGGGAAAGCCTTGACTCCCCCAGGGACCAGCTCCTGAAAGGTCCCTGCCTGGACACAGGCCAGCCCTCCAACTGGGGGCTTCCTCATGGCGCCGGCCAGTGCAGCCCCTCCAGTCATTGTGACTTGGCAGAGGGCCACACACCAGATGGAAGTGACACATGTTAATCAGCAGCTTGGGGCCAAAGGATGCTGGCCCCCTGGGATCAGCATCAGCCGAGAGCAGCCCCCCTCCCTTGCTGTCTCCTTGTACCCCTCCGACCCACCTTTCCTCTGCAAGGCATTTCAGCGGAAGTGAAAATAGACCATTGGGAAGGGATTTTGCTAGAAAACAGACGAGAGAAGATGGCTCCATTTGTGACTAGGACTTTCTGTTATGCTAATGAGACTTGGTGTAGGGTGTGTCTGGAACCATCCCTCCCGATAGGAAAGAGCAGATGGACAAGCCAGCGCGTGGGGGTGGGGGACCACACGCCACACCACGAGGTCTCCAAGGAACCGAAAAACAGGCAGAGAAAAAGGCCTTCCCCTGGGTCTGGCACCCTGAATTCCAGACTTCTGGCCTCCGAACCCATGAGAAACTAAATTTCCGTTTGTTAAAGGCCCCCCGACACACTTCGTGGGATTTCGGTTATAGCAGCGGTGGGGAACGAAGACACCCTCCGAATGGGAGAATTAGAAACAGATGGAGGTGGGCCCTGCGGCCTGCCGGATCCCTTCCCAGGAGTGGGAGTCAGGACTATGGGTGGCCAGTGACAGAGGCTGACTCAGCTCCCTGGGAATGCGGGGACATCTTGGTGGCCAACAGGGCAGGGGAGGCAGGATCTCTGGGACAGGCCACTCTCTCAGGCCAGCTTCCAGCTGCCTCCCCTTGTTGTTGTTGTTGTTAGGTGCCATCGAGTTGGCTCCGACTCATAGCGACCCCATGTGCAGCAGAACGAAACACTGCCCAGTCGTGTGCCAGCCTCACAGTCCCTGCTGCACCTGAGCCCATTTGCAGACACTGTGTCAATGCATCTCGTTGAGGGCCTTCCCCTCTTTCGTTGACCCTCCACTTAACCAAGTGTGACATCCTCCAGGGAATGGTCCTTTCTGACAACATGACCAAAGTAGGTGAGACGACGGCTGGCCATTCTCGCTTCCATTCTGGCCATTCATTCTGGCTGCATTTCTTCCAGGATAGCTCTGTTCTAGGAAGGACCAAGGGGAGACAGGTGGGCAGGACTGGAATTGGCCTTCCTGAGTCAGGTGTCCATTTCTGGATCAATCAGTGGTGGCCAGGGGCGGGGCTGAGTGCAACAATGGTGTGTGGGAGGCATCTGAGCTGCTCTCCCTGCAAGTGAGGAGAGAGCTCACCACCCACAGCAGCCCAAGGCTGACCCTGTGAGGCAGCCCTCAGACAGGCGGCCACCCCTTCAACCTCTTCCCAGTTCTGACCCCAGCCGTCCCTCCCATGGCACTGTCCACTTCTCTGCTGGTTTGATAACTCACTGCCATGGCCACGCAGAACTCACAGACAATCCTCACTATCATGGAGTTTATTAAGGGAGTGACAGGTTGTAGTTCAGGATCAGAAACAAGTCAGGATACGGTTCTCCAGCTGGCCTAGCTACTTCTCGGCTGTGCGCACAGGCAGGCCTCTCTCCGGGCTGCTCAGCCCAGCCCATGCCCTGCTCAGGAAAACGTTACAAAGCGCTGTAGCTCCGTGGAGGAGTGCCAGAGGTGCCCCACTCAGCCAGCACGCCTCCTGCCTGAAGGCTCTCGGCTTGGCTTTCTCGCTCTGTGGGCCGGGAAGCGCCCTGCGCCGTCTCCTGCCAGTCTCCGGGGTCTGCTGCCTCTTCTGCCACCATTTCTCTCCCGCTGCTTCTCACCATCTCTGGTGTCACAGCTGTCTGTCTGTCTCCTGGATCTGGGAGGTTCTCACCAGAAGGCTCCCAGGTCCACAGCGTGCGCTCCACTCCCGGTTCTGTCTTGGTGGTTGCGACATCCGTCTCTGCAATGGCTCATCCAAGCCTAGTGTGACAGGAGTCCCCTCGTTAAGGTCCCATATACCTTATCTGCATGACCCTACACCACACACAGGTGACTAGGGCCCCCCTCCCCTTGTGAGCCTCGTGCCAGCCACCCAGCAGACAGGAAGCTGGGGGAAGCTGCTCATCCTTCCGTTTCAATAATGGGACCCCCTCCCCGACCTGTTCCCCTTGGGAGCTATTTAAGGACCCTTGGGTGGTGTGAACGGTTAATGCACTCGGCTGTCAACCGAAAGGTTAGTGGTTCGAGTCCAGCCAGAGACAGCTCAGTAGAAAAGCCGTCATTGAAAACTTTATGGAACACAGTGCTGTTTCAACAGACGTGGGGTGAGGTGACTGTGAGTTGGGGTGGACTGGATGGTAATATGTCCGCCAGGGTAATCCAGGAAACCCGTATCAAGGCCACCTAATTGGCCACCTTAATCCAACTGCAACCTCACGGCCCCTCTCCGTGTAACCTGCCCTAGTCACTGCTTCCAAGGTTTAGGACTGGGACGTCTGGCTACCCCAGGGCTCCTCAGCTCAGCCGTGACAACTGAGTTTCAAGCCTGGTTGGCTCCAAGGCCCAGGCTCCGCCCACTGCCCAGGTGAGGGGGTGGAGGGCTGGGAAGAGGGGCCAAGGGTGTGCTGCTCTGGGTCTGGCTGCACCTCTGGGCTCAGCCCCCCGCGGAGGCCCTGGGCACCTCGGCGTCTGGGTTATCTGCCCAGTGCAGGCACCCACTCTGCAGGAAGCATCCTAGGGCCCCAGCAGGGAGGAAGCTCTTAGGGCCTCAACAGAGGGGCCCATAAGGACAGTGTCATGAAGCTTCTGTTGCTGGGCTTGGCCCTGCTGGGTGAGCGTCCTGGGGTCATCGTTGGGAGGCCGCTGCTGGTTTCCGGGAGCTGGGCTGAGGGGAGGGGGTGCTAGGGAGCGCAGGAGGGAACGGCCCCTGGGAACGCGGTTGGGGAAGGAAAGATGTGGGCTGCAGTTCAGACCAGCCACTCACTGCTTTGCTGTTGCCTCACCTCTCCGGGCCCCTATTTACTCCTCCAGAAAATGGGACTTAATGCCCGATGTCATGAGACCACTTCAGGGGCCTCACTTTCTCCTGTGGCCTTGCCAGGGGCATCCCTCCAGGAGGTGGGGATTGCACCCTTACCACCTTGCCTCTCTTACAGCCACCAGCGGCTTCCCCAAGGAGCAGGAGGAGGGTGAGTAGCCCCCAAGACTGGAGGGAGGAGTGCCCCCCGCCGGGCACCCTGTGTGGCAGCCGCTGTGTGGGGGCCTTGACTAGAACTGGCCTCCACCCCTGCCGGGGTCCTGGAGAGGCAGAGATCTGCAGACCGAGCAGGCCACTGTGGGGATCCCCAGGGAACTCGAGCTAGGAAGGTGCTAGGCTTCCGGTAGAGGGGAGGCACGTGTGTCCGGGGTAGGTGTGTGTCAACCAGTCCTCTGCCAGGCCCCCATGAGCCCTGACGTGTGGGTGTGACCCTCGGAGAGGGCTGGAGGGTTCTGACCTAGGGGTGCTGAGGATGCCCGGCCGACGAGGAGGGCAGCGGAGCGAAGGGGGAGGGCAGCGGGGCGAAGGGGAAGTGCAGGCTCTCCTGCGAGCACGTCAAGCGCGAGGCTGCCCTCAGCCGCCGCTAGAGGGCGCCCGGGTCTCCCTCGCCACGAACCGCCGGCGGGCTGCGCAGGGCGGCGGAGGAGGAGGGGGCGCGCAGGAGGCTCGGACACACGACAAGGTCCCCAAACCCTCGGCTGCCCCCCTCACCTCTGCTCTCCCTGCCCCCGTCTCTAGGCCTGGAATCCGTCCAGGTGATGGTGGCCTGTCCTCTCCTGCACTCCACGCTCCTCCTTGTCCCATCCTAGCCAGACCTCTGCCCAAACCTCTCTCTCTCTATTCTTCTTAAGGGCAGGGAGCGGGTCATGGTGACGCTGTCTGACTTGAACCAGATACGGGCTAAACTATCATTTCCTCATTCGCTTTAAAAATAAACACGCGTTGGTGTCGCCACTCTGTAGGCCTGGGTCTGGGGAAGTACCTGGGGAGGAGGCCCTCAACTGCTCAGACCGCCACGAGTCCTGCTAAGGAAACTCCCCTAAGCCCGCTGATACCATTCATTCAATCCGTAAATTTGCACCAGGCACCGTTCTAGGCACTGAGCATGCTTATTGCGCAGGCTCAAAGCAAAGGTCCCTCCCGCAGAAAGCTAACATTCTGCTGGGACTGGGGAGCGAGCAATGACACTGCGAGTGCAGTCTATACTGTGTGACGAGGCCTCTGAGTGGCAAAACAGGTTTGTACTCCACTACTAACCAAAGGTTGGCGGTTTGAACCCACCCACCGGCACTGCCTTTCAAATCTGCTTTTGAAAGGTTAAAACAAACAACAAAAAAACGCGTTTACAACTGGGCCTTACGGGGTTTCTAAGGCTGTGGTTTAAACGCTTGGCTGCTAACGGAAAGGCTGGCTGTTTGAATCCACTAGCCATTCCGCAGGAGAAAGATGAGGCAATCTGCTTCGTGAAGACTGACAGCCTTGGAGACCCTGTGGTGCAGTTCCACTCTGTCCTCTAGGGGCGCTGTGGGTCACGGCAGTGGGTGTGGTTTGGGCTTTGCTTCTGTGAAGATTGACAGCCCTGGAGACCCTGTGGGCAGTTCCACTCTGTCCTCTAGGGGCCCTGTGGGTCAGAATGGACTCCACGGCAGTGGGTGTGGTTTGGGCTTTGCTCCTTGTTGGCATATTGCCTAAGGCATTTGACTGCTACCCAGAAGGCTGGCGGTTCAAACCCACCAGCCACTCCTCCGAAGGACTGTCGGACAATCTACTTCCATAGTGATAACGCCTGGGAAACCCAAGGAGGGGTCGATATGAGTCGGAACCGACTCGACTGCAGTGAGTTTGGTCTTTGGTTTGGGTTTGCTCTTGCACAGATGACAGCCTTGGAAACCCTGTGGGGAGTTCCACCCTACCCTCTAAGGGCGCTGTGGGCCACAGCCCACTCCATGGCAGTGGGTTTGGTTAGGGGTTTGGTTGAGATCCATAAACTCAGTAATCAAAAGCAAGGAACTGCTCTGATCCTATTGAATGAACAGTGAATTCCCCAGTCTCGAGCACTTAAAAAATGACCGTTTATGCAAATCAAGCTTCTGTTAAAGGGCCCTTGACATGGAAATAAACACACCTTTTTTTTTTCCCCATTTTTATGTCACTTCCCTTCTCAAAGGGAGCAAAAAAATTTTTTTAAAATATATATATGCATGTGAAGGAGCTCTCGTGGCATAGTACTTAAAGCATTTGGCTATTAACCAAAAGGTTGGCGGTTTGAACCCACCAGCCACTCCTCGGGAGAAAGATGAGGCAGTCTCTTCTGTAAAGATTGACAGCCTTGGAAACCCTGTGGGGCAGTTCTCTGTCCTCGAGGGTCACTATGAGTTGGAATTGATTTGAAGGCGATTCTTTCTGGTTGTTTTTATTGCCAACCTAGGGGCCTCATGTTTCAGGACTATGTGGGACAGTATTCTGTCGGGATCCACAGGGTTTCACAGGCTGCTTCGTGGACGTAGATCGCCAGGCATTCCTTCCTAGTCTATCGTGGTCTGGAAGCTCCACTGAGTCCTGCCCACCACGGGTGACCCTGAGGGTCTTTGAAATACTGGTGGCGTAGTTTTCAGCATCCCAGTGACAGGACACAAGCTGCCATCTGGGCTACGCTAGACTAAAGCAGTGTGTGCCCCTGGGCCTCAGTCAACCGAGCTGCTGAATGGACACGGTACATGCAGTGTCTCAGCCCTCCCGGCAGGTGCTCCAAACGGCTCCGTGCTTCTGAGCCTTGTCAGCCTCTATTCCGTTTTTATTGTCAACAGTTTTGGCAGAAGGAGCTTAAGACCCTTTCCCAGTATTTTGTTCCCCTTTTTCTTATTAAATTATTAAATTCACATAACAAAAATTTACCCATTTTAAAGTGAACTATCCAGGGAAGGTTGGGCAATCTACTTCTGTAGTGATACTGCCTGGGAAACCCAAGGAGGGGTCGCTATGAGTTGGATCTGACTCCATGGCAGTGAGTTTGATTTTTTTGCTTTATCCAGGGTTGGGTTGGGTTGGTTTGGGTTTATCCCGTGGCACTGAGTGTATTCAGTTTGTGAAGCCACCACCTCTAGTTCCAGAACCAGAAAAGAACCCCCACCTACTGGCAGTCACTCCGCACTCCCTTGCCCCCAGCCCCAGACAACCACTCATCTGCTTCCAGTCTGTGGAGTTACATGTTCTGGATAGTTCAGGCAAATGGGACCGTGTCATAGTTGTCCCTTTGCGTCTGGCTCAGCATAAAGTTTCCAAGGTTCATGCATGTGGTCGCATGTCTCAGAATCTCATTCCTGTTTCTGGCTGAAATGTATGAATGGACCATGTTGTGTGGATTCTTTCCTCTGTTGATGGGCACGTGGGTTCTTCCCACCTTCAGGCTGTTGTCAATAGCGCCGCTGTGAATGTTGGTGTACCAGCACCTATTGGGGTCCCTGTTTTCAGTTCCTCGAGGGATACGTCCAGGGGAGAAGTCCTGGGTCCCATGGTGATTGCTTGCCGTTTCCTCAAGGTGCTTAGTCTTTCTCCCTCCTTAGACCCTTTCTCCTCCCCAGGAGTCACCCCGGACATCTCCATTGACTACAAAGTCCTGGAAGTCTTCCCCAAAGGCCGCCGAGTTCTCATAACGTGCCACTCACCACAGGTGCCTCTGCCTGTCACCTATACCCTCTGGGGGAGCCAGAACATAGAGGTGGCCAAGAAGGTGGTGAAGACCAGCGACGCAGCCTCCTTCAACATCAACATCACACTTAAGTCCAGACCAGATCTCCTCACCTACTCCTGCCAGGCGTCCCTCGCGTCCGGCGTGAGGGCCACCAGTGCCAGGCTGCAGATGTACTGGGAGCTGTGGGCCAGTGAGTGCAGGTGGTGGGTGTCACGGGGGAGCGGAGGGGCGGCAGGGAGTGGGCTGCAGAGTCTGGCAGATAAACCTGGAGCTCCTGGGGGTGAGATGCCTGGGCTCCTGGGGGCCAAGCTTAAGAAAGGCCAAGGGCAGGAGGGTGGGGACTGGGACAAGGTTGCTCACAGCCCCATAAGGCCTGGTCCCACGGTGCTCTCTGTCCCCATCTGGGGTTCCTGGCACAAGTCCCTAGCAGGGGCCAGGGTGGGGTTGAGAGAAGCATGCAGAAGAGCCTGAGGGTGGGAGTGACCAAGGCCGGCAGCGGGTGCAGGGCCGGGATTGGGGTTCACTTGGGGCGGACCTCAAACGGATACATCAGGCACCCTTTGTGGGTTATCTAATCTTCACCACCCAGAGGGTGGGGCCTATAGAGGCGGGAGAGAGAGGAACTCCTGCAACCTGCCTGGGCCTCTCGGTGCCTAGTCCCAAAGGTTGGTTTCAACTCCTGGCTCCTCAGCTCCAATCCCTGTTCTTCCCTTTGGCCTTTCCAGCAGAAGCCAAGAGGTGGGGACCAGGAAGTGCCGCCGACCTGCGGTGGGACTGTGACCCACCACACTTCCTATCCATTTCCTGTCTCTGATCCTAAGAACCCAGGGAGGAGACAGCCTAGGGGACATGTCAGGGGGTCAATCCCTACGCTTCCTGGCCTAGGCAGTAGCTCCACCTCTCTGGGCTTCAGTCACTTACGTTTTAAAACAAAGGCACTAATGGTACAAAGATAAACCCATACCTGCCAGACAGCGTGGAACTGCCCTATGGGGTTTCCAAGGCTGTAACCTGTATGGAAGCTGATTGCCACATCTTTCTCTCTTGGAGTGGCTGGTGGGTTCAAACCTCTAACCTTTCAGTAGCAAAGCAAAGACAGTCATACTAGGTAGTATCAAAAAGATTATGCAAATGAAAGCTACCAGTGGGTGGTAAATATGCAACAAGGGGGCTGGGTGTTACTAGTCGGTGAGGATGTTGGACGAACCAGACCAAGTCATTGAGCTGATTCTGACTCATAGCGACCCCTTTGTGTTTCCGAGGCGGTATCTCTACAGAAGTAGATCGCCCAGTCTTCTTTCCGTGGAGTGGCTGGTGGGTTTGCACCTCCAACCTTCTGGTTAGCAGTCAAGTGCCTTAGGCACTGTACCACCAGAGCTCCTCATTTGAGCATCCCATGAAAGGCTGTGTGGGCATCCCAGAATCCTCCATTCTGTGAAGGGCTGGGCGGCATGCCAGAGTCCTCAAAGGCATGGTCCCTGTCTTGAAGAAGCAGGCATTCCAGCTGGAGAGAAAAGACCAAAAGAATATAGCTAGGGTGACCAGGTACATTTGCATGGGGCAGCCTTATACTAAAACATGACTTTATGAAATTCAAATTTCTGTGGGCGTCCTGTATTTTTATTTGCTAAATGTGGCAACCCAAAATGTAATACACAGACTAAAAGCAAATGTGAAATTGAAGGGTGTATTCTGCAAGTAAGGAGCCCTGGGGGCCCAGCAGTTAAGCACTTGACTGCTAACCCAAAGGTTGGCAGTTTGAACCCACCCAGCAGCTCTGAAGGAGAGAAACCCGAGGGTCTGTTCCTGTAAAGATTCCAAAAACCTGAAACTTAACTCCCATCAAGTAGATTCCAATTCATAGAGATCCTATAGGAGTAGAACTGCCCCATAGGGTTTCCAAAGCTGTGATCTTTATGGACGTAGATGGCCTCATCTTTCTTCTGCAGAGCTGGTGTGTGTGTGTGGGGGTTCCAACCACCACCAGGGCTCCTTCATAAAGGTTACAGCCAACTGCAGGGCAGTTCTGCTCTGCCCTAGGGGGTTGCTAGGAGTCGGAATCGATTTCACAGCACACAACGTTCTGCAATAGAGGAGAAGCCCAGATACAGGTGGAGGGAATAATCCGGAAGGCTGCCTGGAGGAAGGGGCACCCACAGCTAACTCACCAGAGCAGTGGCATTTTGTATCGAAGGGTTCTTGTTTACGGTGTGCATGAGAAGCTTGCAGTCACATCTGTGCTATCCTCTCCTGCCCTGCCAGACCCCGTGTCCCCACCAGAAGCCAGCTTCACCCTGATTGATAGAGGGTCAGGCCCCAGAGTGGAGGTGACCTGCCAGACGGCTTCGGGCAGCCCACCTATCACCTACAGCCTGATGGGGAAGGATGGGCACATCTACAGACAGCAGAGCCCACCCCATGGGCAGCCTGCCAACTTCTCCTTTCTGCTGCCCAGGATGCCGGCCTGGCTCCAGTGTCAGGCCGAAAACAGCGTTAGCTTTCAGTCCAGTGCTTTCACCCTGCTGCCCCCAGGTAAGGGGCCCTTGGCCTCCTAGGGGGCCGGTTCTAGGGTGGGAGGGAGACTGTGCCCAGGTATCCAGGAGCAGTTGGTGGGAGGTGGGCCAGTCACTGTCAAGAGCAGTTAGCCTTCTGCTCAGAGGGGGGTTGGACAGCCAAGCCTAAAGGGGAGCCTCAGCCCAGCTGTCCCTGCCTCCCTCCAGGAGAGCTGCCCCAGGGCCCCGCTTTTGTGCTGGCCACCAGCCTCACCTCCATTGCAGCTGTTGGCTCTGGCATGCTGGGCTGGACAGCCTGGACCAGGTAGGAAGTGGTGCTGGGTGTAGGTGAGGGCCGGGGCTGGGGTGCCCATGGTCCATAGAGAGTGGTGGAGCGGGGATTATAGGGTAGGGCTACTGCCGTGGGTGTGTATGTAGGACGTGCAGTGTTTAAGAGGCTACTACTGCGTGCCAAGTGCCAGCCACCCTGGGAGGTCAGCTGACCCTGGGTGGGACACTCACTGGCCTGTGTCTTTTGTGAGGTCTGAGGAGAGAAGGCAGGAGGGCACCAGCCCCTCCCAGGTGGTGACATGAGGCAGGTGCTGGGCCTTCTGGGGTCCTCTCCCTGAGGCCATTGCTTCACTGACGTGTGAGGGTCATGGGCCACCGCGTTTCTGACTGCAGGCCTTGGGGTGCTCTGCCTGTCTGTGGTCTTCGGTGGCAGTGACAACTGTTCCTTGATCCTCCCTTGGTTTCTGAGGCACTGCCCTTCCCATCCTCCTTCTCCTCCCAGACTGTTTTGGGCACCTCTCTGTCTCACCTCGTTCCTTCCTCCCAAGCTACTCACAGGCGAGGTGTGTCACCTCTCTGAGCCTCAGTTTTTCCCCCTGTAAAACTGGGCACAGAGACTGGGCCCTGACTTACCATGTGACCTGCGCTTGCCCCTCAGTGACTCAGCACCTTTGTTTGTGGGGTGAGTCAGCCTCACACCCCTCCTCCTGCCCCGGGCACAGAGGCACCCAGCTCCATAAAATTCAGGAGCCTCAGGAAGGGTGGCTGAGAGGGTGCTTGCCTAACCCGCCTCTCAATGCCCTTGTCATCGAGGTTGTGACCGGAAGATACAACAGGCTGAGCCCTTAGGCCAGCGTGGCGCTTGCCTGACAGACAGACATCCATCCAGTGATGAAAAGGTCGGGCGCCTTCCAGAACACACACAGTGTGGATGCGCTGAGGACTTCTGCCACAAAGGCAGTCACATCCTTAGGATGGGGGGTGCTGTCAGGGAAGGGAGCTGCATGGAGACAGGAATGGCTGTGTAGCTGTCCCCACCTCACCCACCTGGTTGATCCACCCAGGACTGTGGGTGGGGGGAGTGGGGAAGGGCCCAGCAGCTCAAACCCACCCGAGGGGCCAAATCTGGCCTGCTCAGCCCCAACGCGTCCCCCTCTTCTCTGGAGTGACGGCCCATCTCGTGGCGGCCTGGTCCCTGGGCCCACTCAGCTCTCATGTCCTGGGACTCACCTCAAGAGCCCTCCCCTGTCACTAGCAGAGGGGTCTGCAATTCCTCCCCTCCTCCCCGTCACTGCTGGGGGAGCCTTCCCCTTGTCCCTTCGAAAACTGTTTTGGGAATTAAACTAGATGAAGCTCTGGCCTGGGGTTGCTATGAGTGGAGTCCATCGGACCACAACTGGTTTGGGTTTAAGCTCTGCCCCCTACCTGTCGTCCTGGAATCTTCCTTTCTGTCTGCACACCATCTTGGAACCTGGAAATCTGAAGCTACCCAGCCCAGGACGACTCCAGGCAGAATTGGAGGCCAGTCGGGGAAGGTCATGAGAGGAGTCCCTTGTAGCGCAGTGGTTAAAGCGCTCGGCGGCGAACTAAACGGTCGGCTGTTTGAAGCCGCTCTGCAACAGAAAGATGGGGCGGTCGGCTTCTGTAATGATTGACAGCGTGGGAAACTCTAGGAGGCAGTTCTACTCTGCCCTATGGTTGGGTTTGGGTTGTTTATTGCGGCGTGGGGGCATGACCCCACCCCAGGCTTAGCTGCAGAGAGGAGGAAAGAGGGGCTGGGGGACCCCGGGGCTCTGAGTGGGATGGGGTGGGGGGTTGTCCTGGACAGGTGAGGTCTGGAGGGGGCGCCCGGTAGGGCTTCCTGGAGGAGGAGACAGGTGGGCGGGGCAAGGAGGGTGGGGCGGCGCTGGGCACCCTTCCAGTCCCTACATCTCCCTCTGCCGACTCAAACTCTTCCGGAGTCCGCTTGGACGCCGAGCGGGAGGGGACCGAGCACCAACCAGCAGGTGGGGAGGCGAGAGGCACTCGGCGGCGACGCGTCCCCGCCACTTCCGAGGCCCGCACTTTGCTCCGGTCCCTGGGCCGCTGGCCACGCCCCCAGACGGCGGGCGGGGCGCGAGCCGCGCGGCGGGTTCTCGGCGCTCGGCGGCTGCGACGGCGACTGCGACATGGAGAGCGGGGCCTACGGCGCGGCGAAAGCGGGCGGCTCCTTCGATCTGCGGCGCTTCCTGTCTCAGCCGCAGGTCGTGGTGCGCGCCGTGTGCATGGTGAGCGGCGGGAGCGGCGCGGGACGCGGGCACCTCGGCGCCAGCCGCCCTCGCGGGCCTCCGGGCGCGACAGGTGGCGGCCGCGCCTGCGGCCCGGGTCTGGGGGGCTGCGCGCGGGGCCTCCGGGCCGGGCCCCAGGCCGCCGTCGTCCGGACCCTGCTTCATCCCCCGGGTCCCGGCCCCGGCCCCCTTCTTCCCGCCCGGGTGCTGGGCCCGCCGCCCTCCCTTGCTGAGTGCCCCGGGTCCGGCCACTTCCTCGCAGGCCTGGCCTCCCCCAGCCCCCTTGGGCCCTCGCCGGCCGCGGGCCCCGCCGCCCCCACGCGGGGTGTCCGGGAGGCGCCCCGGCGATCGGCCCGCCGCCCTGCTGGCAGTGGGAGGAGCTTGGGGGCGCTCCAGGACAGGTGGCCCGCGCGCCGCGACTCCCAGCCCGGGGAATTCACCGGGAAGGGGCTTTCCGGAGCCCGCGGGGGCGGGGGCAAGGGAGGCCCCTGAGACGGGGTCTCTCTTCCCCTCCAGAGCAGGCCCGAGACCCCTATCCCACCCCTCAGATCTGGTGACCCAGGATGTACCCCCTTCCCGTAAACGGGGCCAGTCTCCAGCACTAAGTGCTAGATGGGGGAGAGGGGAGGGAGTGGGGGTCCATGACCTTGGACACCAGGGGGTAAAGCTGGAGCCTCCCGGGGTGCGCTCGACGCCCCCCTCCCCAGCCATGGGTCCTGCCCTGCTCTGCCTGGGGCTGTGTCCAAGAAGATGCCCCCAGCGTCGGGATGGTAGTGCCAGGAGTCTGTCGGCACGGTATGACCAGCATCCCGGAGTTCCCGTTCCATCCCCAGCTAGGGGCGGGGCTTGTGACTGCCAGCCCGCGAGCCTTTCTTGGGAGTCGTCCCAAGCAGGCCAGGCCTGGCAGGGGCGGCCAGAAGGAGCCCACAGCCCGCCCTCCCAGCCAGCATCTGCCGAGGTGGGAGGCCACCAGCAGCAGCCCTCAAGGTGGGGACAGGTGGCACGGGCTGTTCTCGAACTGGAGCGCCTCTGGGAATTCAGGCCGGCGGAGCCCCGGACCCCCAGGGTCCCAGGACGGAGCTGTGCTCTCAGCCTCTCAGGAGCTTCAGGCCCCAGGTGGGAGGCAGACCGCGCACCCCTGCAGTCAGAGGGGCGCCAGCGTCCAGGAGTCCTTGCAGGAAGCAAGCTGGACAAATGGGGTTCCAGCCTGGAGCAGGAAAGAGCTGGAGGGGCCAAGGGGGCTCCAGGAGGTAGACCCCAGTTTTACCGCAGGGTACAAAGCATACCCCCCAGCAGGGCTCTCCCTAGAGGTGGGGCAGGGGTCAGGCAGAAGGTGGGTGCTGTTTAGGTGGTCAGACTCGAAATCTGGGCTTCTATGACTCTGTGGTCTGCAATGTTTAAAACTCACTCAAAAGGGGGGGTTGCCCTTACTGCATATCAAGTGCCTAAAGGAGATACTGTCTCCAGGGCAGCCAGTGGGGGCGGGGCAGTGCCTCAGGAAGCAGCAGAGTTCAAAGGGGCCGGTGCCCTGCTCCCAGTGGGCCGGCAGCAGCAGCGGGACTGGCGGGTGTCCAGGTGTGCCACCGCCCCGTGGCATGTGGCGCCGCCCCTGGCTGACCCACTCTGTCCTCCCCCAGGTCTTCGCCTTAATCGTGTTTTCCTGCATCTTCGGCGAGGGCTACAGCAATGCCCACCATTCCAAGCAGCAGTACTGCGTGTTCAACCACAATGAGGACGCCTGTCGCTATGGCGGGGCCATTGGCGTGCTGGCCTTCCTGGCCTCCGCCTTTTTCCTCGTAGTGGACTCCTACTTCCCCCAGATCAGCAACGCCACAGACCGCAAGTACCTGGTCATTGGCGACCTGCTCTTCTCAGGTGGGTCCCCAAGGCACCTCCCTTTGGTTTTGGGAGGGAAACAGGAGCTCCAGACTGCGTTCCCAAAGCCTTAGACCTCTGCGTTTGCGGAGGCTCGCGCCCTTGGCCCGGAGTCCCCAGCCCACTGGCCTGGACGGCTCTGCTTAGCTCTTGTCCTTACTCTGGGCTTGCACATCTGGGATTCTGCCCACCTGCTGGAATGCCCTGGTGTCCCATTCTAAGCATGGGCCTTTGGAACAGGCCTCCTGAGTTGGAGTCACTTTGCCCCTTCCTCCCCCCAACTTCTGCATCAGCCCAGGGAGATCCCTGCCTTGGGGCCTCCTTCTCTCCAGAAGTTCCCCAGGTCTCTGGAAAGCCCCTGCCCTCTCTGAAGGCCGGCCACCCACCCTTCTCTCCCCAGCTCTCTGGACTTTCTTGTGGTTTGTTGGTTTCTGCTTCCTCACCAACCAGTGGGCGGCCACCGACCCTGCAGACGTGCTGGTGGGTGCCGACTCAGCCCGTGCAGCCATCACCTTCAGCTTCTTCTCCATCTTCTCCTGGGTAGGTGGGCCGGGTGGGCAGGCTCGTGGCTGTGCCTGCTGAGTGGTGGTGGAGGGCTGGGGGCTCTCTCCTGCTCCCCAGCCCCAACCCTGGGTCTCCCATAGGGGGTGCTGGCCTCCCTGGCCTACCAGCGCTACAAAGCCGGGGTGGACGACTTCCTCCAGAACTACGTGGACCCCACCCCCGACCCCAGCACGGCCTACGCCTCCTACCCCAGTGCCTCCTCCGTGGACAACTACCAGCAGCCGCCGTTCACCCAGAACGCGGAGACCCCTGAGGGCTACCAGCCACCCCCTGTGTACTGAGCAGGGATGGTAAGGGAAGCAGGACGCCCGCGACCCTCGCCACCCTCCTGGACTTTTCCCACAGTTTTCCTCCTGCCTTGTGTCTGCCGGAGACCCACCTGCCTTCCCACCTGGTGGCTGGCGGAACCAGGGGCCCAAGTGCCTTATTTGGGAAGGGGCTTCCCAGCCCCCCCCCTCACTCATTCAAGGGCATTTTTCAGACGCGGGTTTTTTTTTCTTTTAGCTAGAAGTGTTTTCTTGTTGCTTTTCATGTTCCTGCCCCCGCGTGAAGTTGGAGGACAGTGCCCTCCTTCCCTGATGTGTGACAAGTGCCTTGGCTTCCCCCACCCCCCAAAGAGCTGAGCCAGGGCCTGGCCGTGGTGGCTGCAGTGACGGGGGTTCTCTGCCAAAGACAGGTGGCACTGCACACCTGTGTCCTTGCTGCTGGTGCTGGGCTGAGCCCATTCCCCCTCCCTTCCCCTCACTCAGGTTTTTACCGGTTGTAGCCCTCAGCCCCTGCCTGTTCTGGGGTGAGCAGCCCCCACCCCTTGCTCACCCCCTTGGGCCATGGTCACTGCTATATCGCCTGCCAACTCTAGACTGGGGTCACCACCCTATGCCACCTGCCTCCGAGCTGGCCCTCTGCTGTGGGGGAAAAGGCAGTGGGTGCTGCTGGTTCCCACCCTTGCAGCAGGGAGGGGCTAGCCGGACTGACAACACCCAGCTTTATGTAAATACTCTTGGTTTTGAAGGGTGGGAGGACAGGTGTGCCCGCAGACCCTCTGAATGTACAGGAAGCCTGAGGCTCGTCTGAAGGGAATAAATGTTCTTTTCACTCAGTGTCCACTGCCGTTGGGGGGGGTGTGTCTCAGCTAGTGGGGGAGGAAGAGAAACCTTCGTGGAGTTTGCCCCACCCCCATCCAGGGTGCCTGGCACGGCCCTGTCTCTCTGGGGTATCATTTCTCAAGCTATCCTCCATCAGTGACTTAAAATAGCAACTGTGCTCAGTGGTGAACAGGCAGACTCTGTGGCCTGCTGCCCCTTCCTGGAGCTGGGGGCACCTCCCCTGAACAGCCCTTCAGGGGTGGGGCTGCTGCCTATATCCCTGCAGAGGTGCGCTTAGCACCAGAGTCGTTCCTGGGATGTACAGACACTGGGCCCGGCCCACCCCGGGGAGCTAGGCCGTCTCTGTGGCAGAGGTCAGGCCCCTGAAGCAACTCTGGCTTCCCCTTGAGTAACGGTAGAGGCAGCTGTCAACGGTGGGCCCCAATGGTTTCCAAGACTCAGTGACACTCAGTACTGGCCACCTTGACAGCCACTTCATGTGGCCCTTTCTCTGCAGGGCCGTAGTCTCCCCCAGACGGCAGACCCCCGACTTCCAGAAGGTCCCCAAGTCTGGAACTCAGATAAATGACTAGCAACCTGGAATATGGCCAAGGGGAGGGGGAGGGGCTGGGGACGACGCCACTGCACTGGGCACAGGGCCCCGCCCCCACCCCTTGGCTCAGCTGTGCCCTCTTGGCTCCCAACTGCCAAGTGTTTGACAAACAAAACCTGACCTCCCAGCCGGCTGGCAGCACCCACTGCAGGTCTCATCTTTCCAAGCTGGGCCCGATGCTGCCGGCCACCCATTTTGTCTGCCGAGGCAGACAGGCAAGTGGTTCCTCTTTTAGGATCCACTTCCCGTTGATTTCTCAGTAAAGCATTAGAGGGCTGGGAGAGAAACCCGCCCCCAGATCATGCTGCGGTCATCTGCAGTCAGACCCGGGGAACTCCAGACTCCCTCTTAGTAGCACGGAGGTTGGGAGGCAAAAGCACTACTCATGTTGGACGGTTCCCTTTAACATTAGTTATTAATTTCACAAACGCAACAGAAGAACCTTGGCCCCTGTACCAGCGAGGCGCCCGGGTCTGAGCCCCAGCGCGCTCCTGCCACCCGTGTGAAGGGCCGTTCCCCGAGAGGGAGGCAAGAAAGCTGCCCTTGGCCAGCGCCCCGGCCGGAGGTGCCAGGGCTCCGACTCGCCGGCAAGGGCATTAGTCAACAGCCAAAGCCAGGAGGGGGGAAGAGGCCGGGGCACTGACGTCACCCGAGGAGTCCCCGAGCAGGGCCAGTTGGCCGGCAGCCAGCAGAGAACTAAGGGCTCAGTGGCGAGCGCAGAGGGGCGCTGTGACGCGTCCACGCCCAGCCAGGACACTGCGAGCGCACAAAGTGCCACAAGCCCGCGAAGCCTCCGCCGGCTCCAGGACCTCCTCGTGGGAAAGGCCTTGCAGTGTGCAGGGTGGGCACCGCTAGGGGGCAGCAGAGGAACGGAGCGGCGGTGGTGGGCGGGGCCCCTCCTCAGTGGGCGGGGCTGCACTGCAGGACCTGCTGGGGGGCGAAGAGCTTCCGGACCCCCGCCGCCTCCCCGGGCCTCCCCAGCACCGGGCAGTTCTCCTTGTTGTCCAGCCCCTTCTTGAAGTAGCAGAGGCGGCACACCGAGTGGTACTTGTCTGCTCCGCCGATCACCTCCACCTGGTCACAGACGCGGGGGCGGGGCGTGAGGGGCGGGCCCGCCCGCGCCCCGCCCCCGGGGAGCCGGCCGAGGGAGTACCTCTTTCTCCGTGCCCAGCCTCTTGGTGTAGGCGGCCTCGCGGAAGCACTCCATGCACACCGCGGTCAGCTTCACCACGCTCTCGGCCAGCGGCACCAGGTTCAAGATGCTCCCGAAAGGCTGCAGGGGGGGATGCCCGTCTCACCAGGTGGCCTTTTCTTCTAAACTCTGAGTCCTAAGCACTCGAGCCCAATTCTAAGCACCTGACTAGGAACGGCCTTCGTCTGGACTTGCTCCTGGGCAGACAGGGGGCTGATGTGGCTGGTCCAGGTCCCCTCCTCGCCCTGGGATCCCATCCCAAAACTAGGATGACACGACTTACCTTCCTCTGGAAGGTTCCATCCAGGGCAGCCACTATCACAGTCTTGCCAGCGTTGGCCATGGCCTCGCTGAACTCCACAATGTCGGGGAACTGGGAAGGAGGGCAGGGGGAGGACTCAGCATCCATCCGGCAGAAGCTTTCTGGGCCGGGAAGACCCTGCCAGACCTGCCAACTCCAGCCACTTGGGTCAGCTCTAGCCCTCCTACCCAGAGGCCAGCTTGCCCCTGCTCCCCACTGTCAGCCACGGCGTACAGTCCCTGTTGCACAGCCGTCCAAGCAGACCTGCTGGTTCCGTGGCCCAGTACCCAGGACACCTAGCAGGCCGTGTAGCTGGCCTCCAGCTAGGGCTTGAACGCCACTCCTGCGCCTTGTAGACGTGCGAATTTGGCAAAGAAGTAACATTTCCAAACTGAGGAAGTGGCAAGGCTGGCCCTAGGTGTTGCTTAAGGATCGAGGCACTCAGATAATTTATTTCACAGTAAAACCTGCGAGAGCCAGAGCCTGCGTAAGGTGGAAAACTGCCGGAGAAGGAAAACACACGTGCTTTTACTAATGGAAAGTGATAGGAAAAGGGCGGACTGCATCTTCAGTCACACGACCCGTAAAATGAGGCGGTTCCGGCGCATCCCGGCTCTCATAGGTTCGCCTGGGTATGCGGCTGGCTCCCCCGCCCCTCACACACAGGACAGACATGTGCTTCTAAATATAGGCCTGCTGGAAAGGTCACAACTCACACATCAAATTTCATTTTCAAGTGGCTCAGGGAGAGCCTGCTACTTGAGCAAATCCTTGGGTGAATTTTCCCAGCCAATCTCATCACCGTAAGCCCACTGTTGTTATCCACCTGTTTCTCCTGCAAGTGAGCTGCAAAGAGGGATGTATTTGTCTTTGGGGAGGGGTCTCTCGCCAAGACACTCAAACCTTCCTTGGCCTGTGACTGAAGTACGAGGTCACCGATACACACATCAGGCCCCTGTGCAAGGGGCCCGAGACCAGGAGAGACTCAAGTAGGATGTTCTGGGGGCCTCTTGACTCAACAGATGCCACAGTCGCTCCCTGCGGATCTGGTGGGGCCCAAGCCACTGGCCACATGCCTGCCCAACCCTCTGCCCAGGAGCAGGGTTTTGGAGGGGATCCTGTCCGTGGGGTCACTTCCCACCCACACACACTCCCCTCTTGACCTCCACAGCATCTTCACGTGCCCCAGAAACACAGCTCCCAGCCAGTGAGCCTCCTGCCCGGACTTCTCCACCCGGCACACGGACATGGAGCCCAGCTCACTCTTTGTGAGGGCGGGGCTGTTCTACAGTGTAGCAGCACCCCTGGCCTCTGGACCCCAGCAGCGCCTCCCTCCCCAGTCGGGACAACTGGAAAACGTCTCCCGACATGCCTAATGTCCTCTCCGGGCGGGGGGCAGAATCACCCCCTGCTGAGAACCACAGCTCCTTGACCCTCCGTGGGAGCCCTGGTGGCGTAGTGCCTAAGGGCCTTGACTGCTAACCAGAGAGCTGATGGTTCAAACCCACCAGCCACTCCTCAGAAGGAAGACTAGGCGATCTACTTCCGTGGAGACACTGCTTCGGAAACCCAAGGGAGGAGTCACTATGAGTCGGGTCCGACTTGAGGGCACTGAGTTTGGTTTGGGTTTTGACCCTCCACACTGAAGCAGAAGTCAGACACAGATCATCCTAGGTCAGGATCTTTAGAGTCTAGGAGGGGCCTCAACTACCTCCCGGTGCACGACAGCCCTTCACTAACCCCAGGCTGAGGCATGTAGTCATCACCACTCCTCTGCCTTGTTCAGACTGCAAGTACCACCCCGCCCTCAGCATCAGGGCCCTGGCAGGAAAAGAGGGCGGTGCCCGATCACGTCAGAATGCCCAATGACCGCATCGTCCACCACCGTTCTCAGCTTATTGCACTGGGGTGGCCTGTGTGGCTGTGATGCTGGCCGCTGTACCACGACCATGTCACACACCAGCAGGGTCCCCCGTGGTGGACAAGTTTCAGCAGAGCTTCCAGCCAAGACAGACTAGGCAGAAAGACCTGGCAATCTAATTCTGAACAATGCGGCCTGTGAAAGCTTTATGAACAGCAGTGAAAAACTGCCTGCTAGAGCGTCAGAAGATGAGTCTCTCTGGTTGGAAGGCACTCAAGGTACAACCGAAGGGCTGCCTCCACCAACTAGAGTTGACCTTAATGACACGGATGGAGTAAAGCTTTTGGGATTTTCATTTGCTGATGTGGCATGACTCAAAATGAGAAGAAACAGCTGCAAGCATCCATTGATAATGGGAATGCGGAATGTCTGAAGTATAAAGCCAGGAAAACTGGAGTTATCTGAAATGGAACAATTGCAGATTGATTTCGTGAGCTGAAATGGACTGGTCTTGGCCATTTTGAATCAATCGTACTGTCTGCCATGCTGGGAATGACCAATTGGAGAGGACAACATCACCTTCATTGCCAAAAAGAACATTCATGAAAACTGGTGCATGAAACTGAGACCGTGGCTCTTAGACACCCTACTAGCTGGGAACTGAAGACCCTTGTTTTCAACTTTCAGCCAAACAAAAGACCTGTAAGATGAACAATAATACCAGGACCGTATGGACTCATTAGGACAATCAACCATATGAGATCCAAAGCACAGCAATGGCCCAGGGACAAAGCTCAGAGGCAGGAAGGGACAGGAAGGATGAAGGGAGAAAGTGGGAAGAGAGCTGCTACGCTGTGGGGACTGCAATAAATGTCACAGAACCAAATGGGCATGAGATGCTGAAGGGAAAACCAACTCACTCCATAAACTTTCACCCAGATCACAACAAAAATAAGTAAATAAATAGCACATATGAAGATCTGTCCTAAAATACAATGCTGTCAATGAGAGAAACACATCCACACACCTATAAGGAAGACCAGTCAATATGACTGTTACTCATATTTACAAACCAATCACGAGCCAGAGGTGAAGAGGAGTCTTACCAGTCTCTGCAGAGTCTGGAGTTGGTCAAACCTACAATCAAGATGCATCGATGATCACTGGTGGTTGGAATGCATGGGGTGGAAATAAAGGATTGTTGTTGTTAGGTGCCATTGAGTCAGCTCTGACTCATAATGACCCCGTGTACAACAGAACAAAACACTGCCCGGTCATGTGCCAGCCTCACAATCCTTGCTCTACCTGAGCCCATCACTGCAGCTACCGTGTCAATCCATCTCGTTGAGGGCCTTCCCCTCCTTCGTTGACCCTCCCCTTTACCAAGCATGGTATCTTCCAGCAAATGGTCCCTTCTGACAACATGACCAAGTAGGGGAGACGAAGTCTGGCCCTTCTCATTTCCAAGGAGCATTCCGGCCACACTTTTTCCAGGAAAATAGGGCCTTGGTGATAGAAAAAATGCTGGAGATCACATGACAGAATTTTGCAAGACTTATTCATGGCAAATACCTTTTTTCAGCAACATAAACAGTGCTATCCATGTGGACCTCACAGTCTGTAATACACAGGAATCAAACTGACTACATCTGTGGAAAGAGACAACGGAGAAGCTCAATATCATGAGTCAGAACAGGGCCAGTGGCCAACTGAGCGAGAGACCATCAATTACTCACATACAAGTTCAAGTTGAAAGAAAATTAAAACAGGTCGACAAGAATCAAAGTGCAACCTTGAGTATATCCCACCTGAATTTAGAGAACATTTCAAGACTAGACTTGATGAACTGCCTGTGGGATGACATCAAGGACATCATCCATGAAGAGAGCAGAGTGTCATTAAAAAGGTAGGAAAGAAAGAAAAGACCCAAATGGATGTCAGAAGAGACTCTGAAACTTGCTCTTGAATAGAGAGTAGTAGCTAAAGCAAATGGAAGAAATGATGAAGAAAAAGAACTGAACAGAAGACTGCAAAAGGCAGCTTAAGAAGACAAAGTATTGTAATGAAATATGCAAAGACCTGGAGTGAGAAAACCAAAAGGGAAGAACATGCTTGGCATCTGTCAAGATGAAAGAACTGAAGAAAAAATTCAAACCTTGAGTTGCAATACTGCAGGATTCTATAGGCAAAATACTGAATGACATGGGGAACAACAAAAGAAGATTGAACGAATACAGTCACTGTGCCAGAAAGAATTGGTCAACGTTGTCATTTCGGGACAGGAAGTAGCATTTCAGGACAGGAAGTAGCATATGACCAAGAACTTGTGGTACTGAAGGGAAAGACCAGCCTGTGCTGAAGGTGTTGGCGGAACCAAGGCTCCAGGAATACCACCTGAGATGTTCTAACATACGATGGATGCTGGAAGTGCTCACTCGTCCATGCCAAGAAATTTGGAAGACAGCTACCCAGCCAATCAACTGGAAGAGATCCAGAGATCTCTTCCCAAAAAAGGTGATCCAACAGAATGTGGAAATCCGCTTTGTGCTAACTCTTACACAGCCAGTCACGGAGTTACACAGGTTTTCCATTCAGCTCCATAGGGGCTTTTTTAAGCAAGATTTTATTTGTGATCTGGGTGAAAGTTCACAGTGCAAATTAGTTTTCCATTCAGCCAGTCATCCAGGTTTTGTTTTGTCACATTGACTGCAGTCCCCCCAATGTGACAGCACTCTTTCCTCTTCCTCCCTCTATTTCCCGTTTCCATGTCCTTCCTATCCTTTCCTTCCTTCCTTCTGAACTTTCTCCTGGGTGAAGGTTCCCCAGCGTGTCATATGGTTGAGTGTTCTAAGGAGTTCGTACCTCCCTGGTATTACTGTTCGCCTTACAGGCCTGCCTAATACTTGGCTGGGGGTTGGGACACGTGGGTAAGTTCAGATCCAGGCTTGGATAACTGAGGGCCGTAGCCTCAGAGATCCCACCAGGCTATCAAACCAGGAAGGCCAGGCTTTTTCGATTGAGTTTTGTTCTACATGTTTCTCCTAGTCTATCTAGGACACCTCAACATAAAGAAAACAAAAAAATCCTCACAGCTGGACCAGTGAGCACCATCCTGATAAATGGAGGGAAGTCTGAAGCTGTCAGAGATTTCATTCTGCTTGGATTCACAACCAACATCATGGAAGCAGCAGTCAAGAAATCGAACGACCTATTGCATTGAGTAAATGCACCGCAAAAGACTCCTTTAAAATGTTAAAGAGCAAGGATGTCACTTTGAAGACTACGGTGTGCTTGACCCAAGCCCCGGTCTTTTCAGTCGCCTCATAGGCATGTGAGAGCTGGACAGTGAGCAAGGAGGACTGAGGAACAGCTGCCTCTGAGCAGTGGTGCCGCAAAGAAGAGCGACTATGCCACGAACCACCAGTAGAAGGAGCACATGTGTCTTGGAAGAAGCACAGCGGGTACGCTCCTTAGAAGTGAGACTAGCAGACTTCGTCTCTCGTCCTTTGCTCATGCTGTCACGAGGAACCAGTCCCTGGAGGATATTGTGGGTGGTGGAAGTTCCGAGAAAAAGGGGGAGATCCTTAGTGAGACGGACAGCGGCTGCAGCATGGGCTCGCGCACTGCGAGGATTGTGAGGCCGCGGGACCAGGCGGGGTTTCGTTCTGTGGGACGGGGGGTCACTGTGCGGAGAAACTGACCTGACCGCACCTAACGACAACTACGCAAGACCTTCTGTTGTGCCTCAAGACGGCACCATTGTGGTAGCCGGGCACCATCTAGTTCTTCTCGTCTCAGGGTCGTGAAGGCTGTGGTTCGTGTGGTCCACTAGCCTGGTGGACTAACTGCTTCCATGCATCTTTGATTTTCTTCACTCTCTGTGCTCTGGATGGCGGCTGCACCTTGCTATGAGGATTTTCAACTGGCTGATAGCCAGGCCTGTCGTCCTAGTCCATCTCAGTCTGGAAGATCCACCGAAACCTGTTCAGCACCATAGCAACACACAAGCCTCCACAGACGGACAGACGGGTGGTGGCTCCACGAGACGCACTGGCGGGAACTGAACCTGGGCCTCCTGTGTGGAAGGCACAGGTTCTCCCACCGAGCCACCAGAGCCTCATCAGTGTCACCCACTACTCGCTCGAGTAAGACAGTAGCCTCACAAATGAAAATACTGTGTAGCCATTACACAGTGCTGACAAGAGTGGGTGCTTGCTGCACGAAGAGTAGCCCCAGCATGCGACACAGGCCCGTTGCATGAAAACACACGCGCGAGGACTGGAAGGGCATATGTAATAGGCCGAGTACTTCCTGTATTTGTTCTCCTGGGCGGTGAGGACATGCGCAGCCCCGGAGGCTGGGAGCCGGCCACTCAGCTGGGCCTTGTGGTTCTGCTGAACGTGACCCATCTCACAGAACAGCAACACCTGCCACTCGGAGGCTGTGATGGATCCAGGAAAAGAGATCACGAAGCCCAGACACGGTGCAAACCACAGGCCACTGGACACCCGCTTCTTGGCCAATCCCAGGGAGGCTGCTTCTCTGTTAAGGCCTTAACCTTGCTGGAGTCCGCCCTCCCTAACGATAAGGCTGAAGACACTGATCAGGGCAAACCCTGAACCTCCCGGCGGGTACAGCAGCCGTCAGAAGCTAGGACAGAGTGTAAGAATGGTGACTTATGTTTAAAACACAGTGGGGATCGTAAATGCTATGGAAGGAACTAATGTTTGACTTGCTCATCAGGGAGGAAACAGACAAACCAGTCTCTCCGGGAAGTGAGACCAGGACTTTGGAGGAGCCAGGACAAGAGCAGAAAGGTGCCTGGCTGAAGGTAATCTGCTCAGCCCAGGCCAGGAGAGCAGCGCCCAACACATCATGGTGTGAGGTCCCAAGGCAGTTCAAGCTTCCTGGTTCTGAGGGCCAGCCCTCAAAGGCTGACCCAGTACCCACACATCCCAAGACCACAGTTTGGAAGAAAAAGGAAAGAATAGCATGACACGTTCTACCCCAAGCTCACCTTGCCCAGAAGCGTCTCTGGCCTAAAGCAACAAAAGGAAATACAACCAACCACCCGTGTGTGTCAGTGAGGTGTGCGAGAGCGAGTTAGGACACCAAACCAAACCCACCGCCGTGCAGTGCATTCAGACTCATGGCGACCCTGTGTGTCACACGGTGGAGCGTCTCCATGGGGTTGTTGGCTGTAGTCTTCACAGAAGCATATGGCCAGGTCTTTGCTCTGCAGCACTGCCGGGCTGGTTAGAACTGCCTACCTTGAGGTCTGCTGTCAAGCACGAGCACTTGTATCACCCAGTTGTGTTCAAAAGAAAATATTGTGTGGCCACTGTCTCTGGATCAGAAATGGGCTGGACCCACCCATGTGGGTCGGCAGCCACGGTGGTGACAGCTACAGGGCCTACAGCCCAGAACACAGTGGGAGCTGGGAGGCCATGTCTGCAGGGGAAACACCCCAGCAGGGGAGGAGCCTGTCTGCCTCACCTGGGAACGCAGCTCAGGGCTGCGACTTACATAGGACAGCAGGTAACAATGAGCCCTGGCGGCTCCGTGCTTAAGTGCTCAGCTGCCAACCAAAAGGTCAGCAGTTCAAACCTATCAGCTGCTTTGCGGGAGAAAGATGAGGCAGTTGGCACCTGTAGGTTTACAGCCTAGGAAACTCTTCCTGTAGGGTCGCTATGAGGCAGAACTGACTGGATGGCAATGACTTGGCTTGGCTTTGGTTTAGGTGAGAACAACAGGGCCAGAAAGCCAGGACTAAGGAGGACTGGAGCTGTAATACCCCCGTAGGACACCACTGCACACACTGCCTGACTGTGCTGGGGCCCAGGAGGAGGGTGGGCAAGGACTGGGAGCCACTCACCTACCATCACACAAAACCCCTCTTGCTTTTCCAGAGTGGGGTGCAAGACCAAACAAGCAGCTGGGGGCCCCTGCTTGCTTTCTGGGCTCCAACAGTGGACGTGGGCATGTGTTACGGACTGAACTATGTCCTGGGAAATTTACATTGAAGTCCTAACTCCTGGTGAACATGACCTTGTTTGGAAACAGGTCTCTGCGGATGCTGTCAGTGATGTGATGTGACGTCATCCAAAGTCATTGTTAATTGTCATCGAGTTGGATCCAATGTAGGGTGACCTTATGTGACAAAGGAGAACCGCCCCGTGGGGTTTCTGCGGCTGTAATCTTCACAGGAGCAGCTCACTAGGTCGTTCTACTGAGCTGCTGGGTGGTTCAAACCACCAGCCTTCGGGTTAGTAGCTGAGTGCTTACCTGCTGCAGTACCAGGCTCCTTTAACGTCTAACAGAAGGAAGTGCCGCGGGGTCCTGGGCCGTCTCTGCAGTCCCTGGCATGTCTGGAGCATCGCTGCGGCCGCTGCATCAGTCGTCTTACACAGAGTTTCGTCCCCTCATTTTTGTTGACTCTTCTACCAAACGTGGCCTCTTTTCCTAGCGACTGGTTTTTCCTTGTGATGTGTCCAAATTAAGCAAAAGGAAATGTCGCCATCCTCGCTTCAAAGAAGCGTCCTGGCTACTTTCCCCAGGACAGATGTGTCTGTTCTGGCAACACCCGGTATACGCAGTGTTCCTTGCGGTGTACGCAGTGCTCCTTGCGGTGTACGCGGTGCTCCTTGCGGTGTACGCGGTGCTCCTTGCGGTGTACGCGGTGCTCCTTGAGGTGTACGCTGTGCTCCTTGCGGTGTACGCGGTGCTCCTTGAGGTGTACGTGGTGCTCCTTGAGGTGTACGCGGTGCTCCTTGAGGTATACACAGTGCTCCTCGCCAGCACAATTCAAATGCCTCGTTCTTCCTTTGTCACCGTCCAGCTGTCACGTGCACGTGATGCAACCGAAAAGACCATGGCTTGAGCGATTCAAGGCACACCAAATACAACACAGAATAAAAATGAATTTTTCTTTTTTGTTCTGAGAGAGAATAGGCAGCTGACCCGTCCAGGAAAGAAACAGTTAGACTGATAACAGTGTCCTTGTTAACAATGATGAGCACTGGTGCAGCAAGGAAAAGTGGCGGTCAACCTACACCTGCTACCCAGCTTCAGCTAGAAGGCAAAATAAAGACGTTTCCAGGCAAAGACTAGGAGAGCTGCTCACTGCACATCCTGGTTGCAGGAACCGCTAAAGGATGTACTTCAACAGGAAGGAACGAGCAACAGCAGCAAGGAGCAAACATAACACAACACCACCTATGCTCCAGTGTTGGTCATTATCAAATAAACATCACATATTTTTTAAAAACTAAAACAAATCCCAGACAATAATAACATAGCAACTAGGAAGCAGCGTTCAAACACCACGTGTTTAAGGATGTTAACTTACCTTGTTTCCTTTAAGTGTAAAAGTGTAAGGGTAACTATTCAGATAGAAATAGAACTGCTGATGTCCAAGGCAGCAGGAAAAAGAGGGACAGAGGACCTCTAGGATAAGCCAACTTACAAACTGCCCTTCGTCAATGCCTATGACGGCCACGCCCAGCGCCTCCTGGGCCACATCTCGGAGCAGGCAGGCTGGCAGCGCTTCCATGGTGTTCCTGAGGAGGGAAAGGCAGAGCATGAGCAAAGCCTGGGAGATAGAAGCCAGAAAACCAGGGTGCATCTTGACCACCGTTCAACCTGCAACATTTGCCCAGCAGAGCTTTGAGAACTCAGAGCCATGGAAAGGGATTTGGTGAGAATAAAAGTCCTTGTTCCAAAGCCCAGACATTTAACAAAGATACTCACTTTCACTTGGGACTAGAAGTAGCAATGCCCAATATAAATCTCAACTGAGACTCAAAGCTCTTCTCCACCCTGTCTGGTGCCTGCAGAACTCCAGAGACTACAGAGCCTCTCATCTGTACATCCTGGCTGCGAGAACTACTGAAGGATGTACTTCAGAAGAAAAACGAACCCACGAGGAATGAGCAAAAGCAAGTCTCCATCACGCACAGTGCCCAGGGGTCAAGGATATTTGTAGGGACCAGTGAAAAGGTTTTGACTTCTTTAAAATAAAAAACATATATATAACTCAGGTTGGCTTATGTGTCTTATATCAAGACAGTCACAGTATATACATATGTTTCATTAATGACGGAAGGAGAAGCAGTGGTGCTTCAGTGGTAGAGTCCTTGCCTGCCCGGCAGAGACTCAGTTTGATTGCCACTCAGTGCCCTTCATGTGACCCACCACCTGTCTGTCAGTGGAGGCTGGTGTGTTGCTACGACACTAAACAGGTTTCAGTGCAGCTTCCAGACTAAGATGAGGAACAAAGGCCTGGCGACCTCCCACAAATCAACCAGCGAAAACTCCAGGGATTACAACCACCTGATCACAGCCAGTCATGGGCAGCGTTTTGTCGTGGTGTGTGGGGTCATCATGAGCCAAGCGCTCATGGCAGCTGACCATAACGTGCAGGAGAGGGCCACGGAGGTCAGCACGTGGCTCTAGGCACGGTCCCTGGACCCGACTCGCAGTGCGGCAACCTAGAATTCCCTCCTTTCCATGCCTGCGGACAGTTCAAAGTCTGCCTAGATCAATCTGGCTCCGAACAGGCAGAGCCCGGGTGCAAACTCGTCTGGTCAGGGCGCAGGCCCAGACCTGTGTCACACTGCTGCCTCCCGTGTCCTGCTGGGAGAACCCTTTGCACGTGTGGGAGCCATGTGTGCAGATGGATCACCTGGGACCACAGTGGGAACATCCCAGTGCCACAACAGGAGGTGCTGGGCTCCACCTGACCCGCACAGCCAGGCCAGGTTTGAAGGGCAGTGCTGTTCTTTGTGTTCTCGGCCTTATGAAACAGCTTCTGTGTTTTCTAGGGTTGCTGTCTTGCATCCTGGTTCTTGAGCTGGCCAGTAGGTTCCTCACTTTTCAGCAGCTTACAGCTGCATTGCTGTACGTGGCCTATAACATAACATTCTGACCCACAGCGTCCCTAGAGGACAGAGTGGAACGGTGTCATAGGGTTTCCAAGGCTGTCAATCAACATGGAAGCAAAGCCCAAACCACACCCACTGCCGTGGAGTCCATTCTGACCCACAGCGCCTCTAGAGGACAGAGTGGAACTGCCCACAGGGTCTCCAAGGCTGTCAATCTTCACAAAGCAAAGCCCAAACCACACCCACTGCCGTGGAGTCCATTCTGACCCACAGCGCCCCTAGAGGACAGAGTGGAACTGCCCACAGAGTTTCCACGGCTGTCATCTTTCTCCTGCAGAGCAGCTGGTGGCTTCCAAGCATCAAGTGCTCAATCATGGTGCCACCAGTGCTCCTTGTAGCTGTGTTTAGAACAAAGAAAATGTCTTACAGTTGCTTAGTCTATGCTGTCTGTAGTCCTAAGAACATCCAACAGGACTTGTTGTTGTTGTTGTTATGTGCCGTCGAGTCAGCCCTGACTCATAGCGACCCCTCCTTGGGTTTCCGAGGCAGTATCACTACGGAAGTAGGATTGCCCAACCTTCCTTCCGAGGAGTGGCTGGTGGGTTTGAACCGCCAGCCTTCTGGTTAGCAGTCAAGTGCCTTAGCCACTATGCTACCAGAGCTCCCTCCAACAGGACTGGATGCATGTAATTCCGTCTTCCCCAAACAGGAGACAAGCAGCAGCAGGCCACCCTGGCGCCAGGGTGCTGCCCCTGCCAGATGCTCACTCGTGGCCGCGAGCCCGTCCCCGGCTGCCGCCAGCCCAAGGTAAAGATGACTCGTCACCACGTGGCAGAGCTTGGTTGGAGTCCCGGACCTGACTGACTGCAGACGCTGCACTTCTGAGCACTGTACAATGCCACTCTCCATGCTGTCTCCCGGGAGCTCACACCCACCCTGGGCACAGGCACTGCTGGCGCGTTTTGGGGGGAGGAAACGAACTCAGGCGGCACCACCAGGAAGCAGGAGTCCAGCACTCTCCACTCTGCCACCCTCCTGCAGTCAGAAGCCATAGGCTCCGACCTTAACGCCACACGCCAGGTTCTCTGCCCAGGCTGTGGCCCAAGGCCCTGCATGTAGTTCAGCTGGGCCACAGGGGGCTCGAGTGGACACATCCAGGGCCCTGAGTGTCTCGGGCTCAGAAACACTGAGCCAGAATCTGCCAACGAAGGGGCAGAGATGGAAGTTTGACCCAGGCAAAGAAACACAACAGGGAAGCATGAAAGCCACAGTGGACAGGGGGCTGGCTAAGGGCCAGCAAACTAAAATAAGCCCAAACCAGCGTGTCAGCCAGACAGAACCAGTTTGCATCTTCTGTGCCGATGCAGGGCCTCCAGCAGGTACTGAGTTCTCCATTGTGGGGCTTCCCTGTGCATTACAGGGGGCTGAGGAGCGTCCTGGCCGCTACCCACTGGTAGCATCCCCATCCCCAGCTGCGCCAACCATACATGTCTCCAGCCGTCACCCAGTGTTCCCCAGGGAGCAAAAGCGCCCTCGCTGAGGACCATGGTTCTTGGGTCCCAGGCCAGCTCTCCAGACAGCCTGGAAAGTTTGTGGACGCGAGCGGAGCAATGCCAGGAGTGACTGGTCATCTCCCAGACAGAGCTCTGGCCACCTGTCCTGTGCCTGGTGAATTTGCCCTGGCCCTCTCAGGGCAGGCGGGGGCAGGACTGACCGGTCGTGGGTAGAGAGCCCAGTGCCATAGCGGGTGTCCTTGGCATACTTGATCACCAGGCACTTGTACTGTGCGATCTGGAAGCGGCGGACCCGTCGCATGAGCTCCGTGCTGCAAGGGCAAAAGGCAAGTTGAGGCCACACAGCCCCTAGGTCCTGGGCCCCATCTCCACAGGCTGGCCTTCTGCCGCCCCCTGGTGGTGGAGGGGCGGAAACACAGCAGGGAGAGTGTGGAAAAGCCGCTGAGAAAGAAGGGAGAGAGCCCAGTTCTCAGAAACCAAAACAAAAAACCAAACCGGAGGGCCAATTATAGCAACCCTGTGGAGATGGTGGAGAAGGCGGAGGTGGGGTGGTCTCCATCCAGAGACAGAGTTAACTTCATCAAAGCCTTTCTTGCAACTCTCGGAAGCAATTTGATTCTGGGGCCAAGAAGCCCCACCCAGATGGCTGGGGCAACCCCACGGGGCTACATAGGATGGGTTGGCTCCAAGGGCCTTCCTGGGGCAGGGGGCCCCCCAGAGGGTTCCCCAAACCCTCTCAGGCCCAGAAGTGGTTGCATTTCTTCAGGGGGCGAGGCCGAAAGCACCCCAGACTCCTCAGTGTGGGGTGCCACACGAAGGGCGGCACCCCTTATGGGGAGGAGGCACAGCGGGTACAGGGCATGCCACGGGGCACAACTGGAAAAAGACTGGAGCCCCTCCTCTGAGGGCACTGCCTGGGGAGAAGCTGGGCCCGAACCAGCTCCAGGAAGGGGCGCGTACACGATGGGAGGAGGGGCTCCCTCCAGGACAAGACTCAGGGAGGGAAGGGGACCTGGGCCGGGAACGCTCTAGAGGACTCACCTCGAAGGGGCAGCAGCCAGGGAGGGGCCCCTAGGGAGGAGGGTGGGGTCCCTGGGGAGGAAGGCGCCCGGCCCACCCCCGCGCCCCGAAGCCACTACCTTTTCCCGGAGAACATGGGCCCGAGGATCACCTAGGAGAGAAGGAGAGGTCACTTAGGAGACCGGTCCGCGCGGAAGCAGAGCACTGACGGAACCTCGAGCCCGTGGGACCCGAACCCCGCATCCCAGGCCCCGCCCGCCCCGGCGCCTGCGCCTGCACCTGGATCTGGCCGCGGGTCTTGCTGGGGGAACCGGGCAGCACGGTGGGAAGGTTTATGCAGCTCATGGCGCGTCCGGGAAAGTTACGGGAACACTGACCCCTGCCCGCGCCTGCAAGTTCCCGCGCCGCAGGTTTCCACACCGCCCACCCGGCGCGCGGCCAATCAGAGTGCTCGGGAGGTGCTTTTAGCGGCCAATCACCACCCGGTGTGTCCTAGGACTGAAATTTGACTGAAGCCCTCCCCCTCGTGAGCGAAATCCCGGATAACGCACAAGGGCTGGATTGGCGCCTAATCTGCGGGAGCCAGCAAGTCAGGCCCGGGGGCAGGACAACGACAAAAGGGACAGGACGGAGGCGGGATCAGCATGGGATGGCCCGGAGCCAGGAGCCCTGGTGGCGCAGTGGTTAAAGAGCTCAGCTGCCAACCGAGAGGAGGTTGGAACCCACTAGCCACTCCGCAGGAGAAAGATGTAGCAGTCTGCTTCACCTGAGCTTACAGCCTTGGAAACTGGTGACAATTCTATTCTGCCCTGTAGGGTCGCTATAAGTCCACTGCGACGGGCTGGCTTTTGGGTTTTGGCCCGGAGCCGCGAAGTCAGCCGGGTGAACCGGGCTACGACGAGGGGGTGTGGCAGTGTGGTCGCGGCCTCGCCCAGAAACGCGGTGGGTGTGGCTCCGCTGAGCTCGGTGACGGAGCCTCGGCTAGCCCCGCCCACCCGCCAAGTCTGTAGGGCGGTGCGTGCGACAATCGCCTCTTCGGTGGGATGGCTGTGCAGGGTGCAGGTCTTGGGGAAGAGGCTCCTTGGAAGAAGATGTCTAAAGAGGTAGGCAGATCGCAGGGAGGACCGCGCAGGGCCTGAGAAGGTCAACTAAGAGATATATGGGAATTTTAAGCAAAGAGTCCCAGGTACGGTGGTTTAGCGCTCGGGGGCTAACCATTTCCTGCGGGAAAAAGATGTGGCGTTTTGCTTTCTTGGAAACTCTGTGGGGCAGCTCTCCTTTGTCCCATAGGGTCTTTGTGAGTCAGAATTGGCAATGGGTTTGGCTTTTTGGGGATAAGCAAAGGCGAATCTATGGAAGATAGCTTCTATGGCCGATATTAAATTGCTGATTGATCTCTCACAGCTGGGGATGGAAACTGCAGTGGCGAATAGAAACTGCGCGGTGGCGCCCTCCTCCCGTGGCGCCCAGGGCAAGCGCCATACCTGCCATTCCTAGCTATCCTCTGGTTCTAATAAATTAGAGATCACCCAGGCCTATCCTGTGGTCGCCGTTGGTCACCTGTTGGGTGCCAGGTACAGAATGCACCGTCATCCCTTTTACTTCTGCCTGCAGACGAATTTCTGTTAGCTGATTTTAAAGATGAGAAGGCGGATGTTACTCTGTCCATTAGCCCCACAAAGGCGAGGGCCAAAGTTCATTCTTGCTACATTCGTGTGCTGGGGCTGTGCTTACCGAGGATGGGGGGAGGTTGGTATTTACTGAGGGTTAGAAACGACGTGGGCAAAGCGCTCTGCACAGCATAACCTGTCCCTGGGAGTGGTTATGAGTACCAGTCAATGACAGTTTCCTAAGTCTTTTGCCTTTGGGCTGTGGTTCTCTGATGTAAGTTATGGATACTAACCAGGACCACAGTCGGTCAAGCTCTCTGTCACACAGTCACATACAACATCAAGGGCCTCAGAAACCCCTGGCACCACTGTGGAATAATAGCTGTGATGGTGATGATGACGTCACTAAGTACTTGCTGTGTGCCAGGTGTGGCTGCACGCACTGGGAGGTAGTCACGTTCGTTGTTGTTAAACCAAAAACCCACTGCCATCAAGTCGATTCCAGCTCATAGCAACCCCATTTGGGTTTCCAAGGCGGTCGACCTTTATGGAAGTAGATAGCCCGGTCTTGCTTCTGTGGAGTGGCTGGTGGGTTTGAACTGCCGACCTTCTGGTTAGCAGTCAGATGCCTTAGGCACTGTGCCACCAGCGCTGACAGTTTTGACTCCCAGCAACCCCATGTGACAAAACAGGACAGCTTCATGGGGTTCTCTGTGCCGGGAGCAGGTCACCGAGCTTTTGCTTCCATGGAGCCATCCGTGTGTTCAAGCCCCCCACCTTTTGGTTAGTAGCCAAACGCTTAATCTTTGCACTGCCAGGGGTCCCAGCCCTATTTACTGTAAAATTTGTACAGATCCACGGATCCCAGGCTAAGAACCTCATTCAACAGGAGGAAGTGGTCACACGGATTTGAGTGGCTACCTTGACTTTATTTACACAAATGATCTCTTTTCACCTTGTGAGGCAGCTATTAATATGCTCATTACACAGATGAAGGAACTGAAGCCCCGAGACTGTGTATAACTCACCCAGGGCAAAAGAGCTAGCCGGGGGGGGTTAGGATGGCACATGACCGCCTGACTCCAGAGCCCCAGGGCTTTCTGTGACACCACCTTGTCCTCAGATTGCCCACTAGGATGCCTTTGAGCCCTTTCTTCAAAAGCTCATCACTTGTTATTTCCTCAGTTAAGCCTGAACGTCTTAGCCTGGCATTCAAGCTCCTCCAGCCTCCAACCTCACCTTGGGCAGCGTTTCCAAACACCTCTGATCCTCCCTGCTCATCCCTGTGGTGTGGCCACGCTGTGCTCTCCCCTTGGTGTACCCCTCCTCCAGTCTTCAGTCGCAGTCACACCCTTTCACCCAAGACCAGGCCACGCCCCCTCCTTGGCAGTGGCCATCGTGCTCTCTGGCCTCTGCCTGTGTTAGGTGCTGTGACAGTGGTGCAGAGGATCCCACTAACTGGGACACATGGACGGGACCTCATCGCCCCTTTCTTCATCCTGAAAGCCAAAGATGAAGAAATTGAAGACTTTTACCAAGTCTGCAGTCTGAAATGGACCAAACACGCAATCAAGATGTATTGATTGTTACTGGTGATTGGAATGCAAAAGTTGGAAACAAGAATCATCGGTAGTTGGAAAATACAGCCTTGGTGATAAAAATGACACTGGAGATCACGTGGTATAATTTTGCAGCACCGATGACTTATTCATTGCAAGTACCTTTTCTCAACAACATAAATGGTGGCAATACAGGTAGACTTCGGTAGATGCAATACACGGGAATCAGAGTGGCTACATCTGTGGAAAGAGAGGATGGAGAAGCTCAATATCTTCAGTCGACACAAGGCCAGGAGCTGATTGCGGAACAGACCATCAATTGTTCATAGGCAAGTTCAAGTTAAAGCTGATGAAAGTTAAAAGAAGTCCACCAGAGCCAAAATACAACCTTGGTTATATCCCTCCTGAATTTAGAGACCATCTGGAGGATCGATTTGGTGCACTGAACACCAGTGACCAAAAGCCAGACAGGTTGTGGGATGACATCAAGAACATCAGCCCTGAAGAAAGCAAATGATCATGAAAAAGACAGGGAAGGAAGAGAGGTCCAGAGAGGATGTCAGAAGAGCCTCTGAAACCTGTACTTGGAGAGTAGTTAACTGGAGGAACTGAGCCAATAAAAGAGCTGAACAGAGATTTCAGAGGGCCGCTTGAGAAGACAAAGTCAAGTGTTATAATGAAGTGTGCAAAGACCTGGAGTTAGAAAACCAAAGGGAAGAATGTGCCCAGCGTTTCTCAAGCTGAAAGAACTGAAGACAACAGGCAAATCACAAGGCTCCAGGAACTGACAGAATACTTACGAGATGTTTCAACAAAGCGATGCAGCGCTGGGGCGTTTACTCGTTTACGCCAAGAGATTTGGAAGACAGCTACCTGGCCCACCTCCTGGAAGAGATCCATACTTGTGCGCATTCCAAAGAAAGGTCATCCCACAGAATGTGGAAGTTATTGAACAGTATCATTAATATCGCATAAGTAAAATTTTACTGAAGATAATTCAAAAGTTGTTTCAGCAGTGTATTAACAGGGAACTTCCAGAACTTCAAGCTGGACTCAGAAGAGGACATGGAACAGAGGATATCAATGCTGATGTCAAATGGATCTTGCCTGAAAGCAAAGAATGCCACAAAGATGTTTACCTGTGTTCCATTGACTATGCAAAGACGTTTGCTGTGTGGATCATAACAGATTATGAATAACATTATAAAGAATGGGAATTCCAGAACACTTAATTAATTGTGCTCATGAGGAACCTGAACAGGGACTAAGAGGTTGTTGTTCAAACAGAACAAGGCTGTATTGCACGGTTTAAAATCAGGAAGGCTATGCAACAGGGTTGTATCCTTTCATCATACTTATTCAGTCTGCATACTGAGCAAATAATCCTAGAAGCTGAGCTACGTGAAGAAGATGGCATCAGGGTTGGGGGAAGACTCATTAACAACCTGTGATGTGCAGATGACACAGCCTTGCTTGCTGGAAGTGAAGAAGACTTCAAGCACTTCCTGATGAAGATTGAAGACTACAGTCTGCAGTGTGGATTACACCTCAACATGAAGAAAAGGAAAATTCTCAGACTGGACCAATAAACAGCGTCACAATAAATGGAGAAAAGATTGAACTCGTCAGGGATTTCGTTCTCCTTGGATCCACAGTCAACACCCATGGAAGCAGCAGTCAGGGAATCAGACGTGTTACCCTGGGCAAATGTGCTACTAAAGACCTTTTTAAAGAGTGAAGAAGCAAAGATGTCACTTTGAAGACTAAGGTGCGCCTGACCCAAGCAATTGTCTTTTCAGTTGCTGGTCAATTTATAAGGAAGACCAAAGAAGAGGTGATGCCTTTTAATTGTGGTGTTGGCAAATAATAGTGAAAATACCAAGGACTGCCAGAAAAACGAACCAATCTGTCCTGGAAGAAATGCAGCTGGGATACTGTCAATAAGGTATATGGGACCCTAAGGAGGGTGTTGGTCAGTTTTGCCATCCTGCTAGGCTTAAAGTGAACCATCCCAGGGCTGAAAGAGGGACCTCATGACCCCCAAGAAAGAAGAGCCAGGAGTGGAGCATGTCTTTTGGACCCAAGATTCCTCTGCTGAGTACCTCCTCGATCCAGGAGACAGATAGAGTTGTAACCCTGGAGACAGCGAGAGAGAGAGTGAGTAACAGTAGCAAGAGGGAGACCAGCAGAGGGTGGTGAGGAGGGCTTCCTGCCCTGGGAGCGAGAGAGCTGGGTGTGTTCCCCTTTGGACAGGACGCTTGCTGGCAGGTAGGGAGCCTCTGGTCACTTGGTGCTAGAGCTGAGCAGCTTCAGGCCGAGGCTTGCTGGTGGAGCAAGGTGCCTCTAAACCAAAAACCAAACTCAACTGCTGTGGAGTCAGTTCGACTCATAGCGACCCCTCCTTGGAGGCAGTGTCATTACAGGGAAGTGGATTGCCCAGCCTTCCTTCCACGAGTGGCTGATTGTGAAGTCAGATGCCTTAGGCACTAGGCCACCAGAGCTCCTCTAGCAGCTATAGGAAAAGCTAGAAGAGCTTTCTGACACCTGCCTGCAGGGCAGAGGTGGGGCCCTAGAGGTCAGGAGTCAGCAGGAGAGGTGTGCCTGGGGGCACTGCTGTTAGGAGGTTGTCCGGATCCAAGAACTGTTCCCCAGGGTTCCTGACCCTGTTCCTTCTACTTCCCTAATAGACACCGTAATTGGGGGTAGGGGGAGAAGTGCAGCTGGAACGTCCTTTGGAAGCGAGAATGGCCAGACTTCGTTTCACCTGCTTTGGTCGTGTTGTCAGAAGGGACCATTCCCTGGAGAAGGGTGTCATGCTTGGTAAAGTGGAGGGTCAGCAAAAAAGGGGCGGACCCTCAGCGAGGTGGGCTGACCAGCGGCTGCGATGGTGGGCTCCAGCCCAGCAAGGATTGTGAGGCTGGCACAGGACCGGGCAGGGTTTCGTTCGGCTGTGAATGGGGTCACTATGAGTCGGTGCTGACTGAATGGCACCTAACAATGACGTCTCCCCTTTACCTGAGGCTGTCGCTGGTTAAGGCATGGGTGGCGCAGGGACACCTCTAGACCCTGCAGTGGCGGTGGCTAGGTCTGAGCGCCTCTCAGGGCTGCATCTGTTCAGTTACCAGGTGCCATGGAGTCTACTCCGGCTTGTGGTGCTCCCATGTGGGTCGGAGGAGAGCTGCGTCCCGGAGGCTTTTTAATGCCTGGGTTTTCAGAAGTAGGTTGCCAGGCACATCTTCTGAGGTGCCTCGAACCTCTGACCTCTTGGCTAGCAGCCCAGTGAGTTAACTGTTTGTGCCACCTGGGAATGTGGAATTGTAACTGACGCCCCTTATTAGCACAGGAAGGGTGGGAGGGGGCTCGCTGGGCTGGGAGGAGACTTCCCAAGGGGGAGAGGAGCTGTCCGGGCGTGTCAGGGGGACAGGGACGTGCCCTGTGCTGGAGCAGTGCCTTATAGACCCTTGTGTCTGCCCACAGGAGCTGGAGATTCAGTACAGCCCTAGTAGATGGGTCGTCCGGCTGGGAGCGGAGGAGGCCCTGAGGACCTACTCACAGACGGGAACCCAGGGTACCATGTGACACCCCTGCCCTGGCCACTTGGGGTGTTCAGAAGGCTGGGGGTGGGGGAGGGCCATTTCCTAAGCACCAGGCACCATTGGTAGGAGCTCTGGTGGCACAGTGCCTAAGGCACTTGACTGCTCACCAGAAGGCTGGCGGTTCAAACCCACCAGCCGCTCCCTGGAAGGAAGGTTGGGCAATCTACTTCCATAGTGATACTGCCTCGGAAACCCAGTGGGGGTCGCTATGAGTTGGGTCCAACTCGACGGCACATAACAACAACAACAACAACAACAGGCCATGTCTCAGCTGCTGAAAGTGGGCTGTTTTTCTAGTTATGAAAGGAAGCTTTTTTTTTTTTTTTTTCCTTTGAAGAAATCAGGGATTGGGGACCTGTAAGTCCTGAAGTCGTAGTTAATTTCCATTACAGCCCGTGTCCCCATAGTATGATACCATGATTGTCTGTTTATAGTACTTCTCAGCTTCTCAAAACCAGAGTTTGGGATGGCCAGGGTACTTCTTTTTTTGTGTGTGATTTGGGTGAAAATTGACAGAGCAAATTCACTTTCCATACAGAAGTTCACATACACTTTGTCTCATGACATTAACTGCAATTTCCCACAATGCAGCAGCTCCCTCCCACTTGCTCCCGATAGTTACCTCTTCCCTGTGTCTATCGCTCCATGCACCCTTTCCCCCTGAGCTGTCTCCCTGTGCTTACACAGCCCCTCTTTCTCCCATGATTGTTCTCTCCAAGGAGTGTATCTACCCCAGGTAAATGTTCAACTCATATGCCTGTCGTTTGTTTGGCTGGAAGCCACAGGTGTGGGTTCAATTCCAGACCTGAAGGGCAGCTAGGGGCCATAGTCTCAGTGGTTCCACCAGGCTCTTTCAGACCAGCAAACCTGGTCCCCTTTTTTTTTTTCCCCAAATGATTTTGAGTTTTGTTCCACATTGTTCTCCCTCTCTATCCAGGCTCTCCTACATAGATCCCCCTCTGAGTGGTTGACAATGGTAGCTGGGCACCATCTAGTTCTTCTGGTCTCATAGTTGTATAGGCTGCGGATCTCATGGTGTACAAGTCACTTGGACTGGCCAGGGTACTTCTAAGGCACCAACAAGAGCCTCTTAATCACCCCACACCCCGGCTCGCCTCATGCCCTCAGCCTCCCCTGTCCCTTTGTCCAGTTCTCCAGGAACATTTAGGTGGATTTTTCTAGAGTTGCTATAATTAGGGTTTCTTTAAAGCTGTGCTGTCGAGCCCTGGGTAAAGCATCTGCGCTGGCCAGGGAAGAAGGCACCAAGGATGCCACTGTCTGAGGAGGGACGGTCAGATGTTGACGGATCCATATGGCGCGTGCTGTGCAGGAAATGGAACAGAGCTGGACTCCCAAGGCGTCTACGTGAGCCTCCAGGGGCTTCACTGCACAGCAGTAACGCAGGAGGAAGAACAGATTGTTGGGGGTTTGTTCAGGCACATTCCACCACCCTCCCCGTCCCTGTGTCCTGGGTTCTTCCAGGTCAGTGCTGCTCCCATCTTCGTGCCAAATACATCTATCAATAAATATTTGGGTGTGTGGTGAGACACGCATGGGCCTGGGGAAACCTGCTTTTGTCTCTCTGAGTTGTCTGGAGGCACAGAAGAGCTGATCCCATTTGGAGAGGGGGTTAGACGTAAAGAGCAAGTAACTGGACGGTTTGCTGTCCCTGCGTGTGTGCTTTGCCATCGGGTCAATTCCGACTCGTGACTCTGTAGGTCAGAGGAGAGCTGCCCCGTAGGATTTCCCAGGCTGTGATCTATGGAAACCAATCACCAGGTCTTCTCTTCTGCGCAACCGCTGAGTGGGTTCGCACCACCGACCTTTCGGTTTTGGTTAGCAGCTGAGCCCTTAACTGTTAGGCTACCAGGGCTCTCTGTTTGCTTATACCTCCCCCTGTGTTTAGAATGAAATTTATCCTGTTTCTACCACTGAAATCCTGTGATTCTGTAGGATCCACGTGCCTAAACGTGTTCATTATCAGAATATCAATCTTATGGAAAAACTGAAAAAAAAAAAAACCAACTAAGTAGTCAATAAAGGAAAGTAGCTCTGCAGGAGCTCTGGTAGCGTACTTGACTGGTAACCAGAAGGCTGGCGGTTCAAACCCACCAGCCACTCCTCGGAAGGAAGATGGGGCAATCTACTTCCGTAGTGATACTGCCTCG